TCAGCAGGGACAGCTAAATGTAAAAGAATGAAATTATAACACTCCCTAACACCATACACAAAAATAAACTCAAATGGACTAAAGACCTAAATGTAAGGCCGGATACTATAAAACTCTCAGAGGAAAACATAGGCAAAACACTCTTTGACATAAATTGCAGCAAGATCTTTTTCAATTCCACCGCCTAGAGTAATGAAGATAAAAACAAAAACAAATGGGACCTAATTAAACTTAAAAGCTTTTGCACAGCAAAGGAAACCATAAACAGAACGAAAAGATAACCCTCAGAATGGGAGAAAATATTTGCAAATGAAGCAACTAGCAAAGGATTAATCTCCAAAATATACAAACATAAGTAAATGTGCACACACACATACTCCTGTTACACAAGAGCAGATTTTACACACCATTCTTCCCTTGCTTCTTAAACAGTTCGTCATGGAGATCCCTGTGTGCAATATACAGAGATAATCCTTAGTGTGTCATTGGTCCATGTTCACACTGGGCATTCCCAGCATGTGCCACTTGTGCCTGGTGGGGCTGGAGTGTGCCCGTTGGAGTCCATTTGTCAAAGACTCCATCCTGGGGAGAAAAGGAGGCAGGCACATCAGGGGTGATCCTGTAATGAAGCTGTGGCTGTTTGGAGGGGTAGGTATTCCTGGGGACAGCGTGGTGGCTGTTTCTGGAATCTTCCCCTTCCCTATCCCTGGACACCTGTCTAGCTCCTGGGATAAGAGAGGCAGTCAGCAAAGGCTGCTGAGTTTTCTCATTGCAAACTCTGCTGGAGGGCCCTGTTCACAAAGTGACATGATAATAAAGGGAGCTGTGTCTCCAGGCTCCCTTCCCCACATGCACCTTCTGGTCGCAGCCCAGGGCTCCACATGGAGTCAGACTGTGTCCAGTGGGAGAGGCAGCGGAGCTGCTCATGATCACATGGGAGAAACTTCTCAGGGCGCCTAGCAACAGTGGCAAGATGGGAAGGACGGGGCTTATCCAAGGGCTAAGGCTCTGCGTGATAGGTGAGACCACTTGAGTGTGCCACTGAGCAGTAAAAAACAAACAAACCACCCTAAATTAATCTAATATGCAGCCAGTGTAGAAACCACTTCTTTTCTAAGTTCATCTCTTGTAATAACTTGTCCAACACAACCAATAGCAGCCAACATGCAGTGCTAACATTGTTTTTAGCATCTTCTTCTGAAGTGATAAGTTCATTAGGCTGTGTCATCTGTTGGTGACAGTGCTGTTAAATGCTTGCCACTTCATAACATTAACCTCCTTCCATCCAGCTTTGTTTAATACTGTCTTCATTGCCCTCTCCCTTCACTGCCCTCTCCCTTCACTGTCTCTAAGCCAGTTGCACATACTTTGGTTTTTTATTTCAGCATCAAAATTCTTCCAGGATCTTCTAGGATAGGTTAGGTTATGGTTGGGTAGCAAACAAAGCTCCAGCAAAATCTTAGTGACTTATAACTACAAAGGATTTTTTTCTCACTAAAGTTACATAGACTTAGAAGCTTACTTAGTAACTTATCTTTTTAGCTTTTAGGTCTCTGAATCGAAAGGTACCACATCCTGACTTGATGCAGGCCCCTGCATCAAGTCCAAGGCCCCTGTGCATCCCCCAGGGCCCTTGGACTTGACATTGTGATAGTCTGGGACATTGGTTGTCCCCTTTGGGGAGTGGAGAGTGCATATTGCCTATGGGACAGACAGTGAGCCAGATGTTTGGCAAGATTTCGTAGCCACAAGTGCTGCTCCCAGATTATTTGGGGTGTTGGCCTTCTGGGCATGTCCTGGATGGTACTTCCCTTCCCCCATAGAGTCAGGAGTGAACTGCTTTGGACAATGGATTGTGTGTGGAAGTTACACAGGTCCTTTCCAGCTGGAAGCTTGACGAGCCTGTGTGGCCACACAGTGGCTGTTCTCTCAGCTGGGACCTGGAGAAAGAGGACATGGGGCAGAGCCCCCAGGTGGCGTGGTGAGAATTAAAGTCTTATCTTTTTAAACCCTAAGGTTTGGGGTATTTGTGACCACAGTGTGTGTCATTTTGAGGTTGTTTCTTACTACTCTGCTCTCCTGACTGATATAGAAGGAAATGCCCCTCTTCTGCTTGGCACCAGGTGGTGCTTGGAGCTGCAGCATCCATCTGATGAGTGAGAGTTAAAGATAACACACTGAGAAAGGATGCTGGAGAAGAAAGATGGAAAGGGAACCTGGGTCCCTGGGGGTAGAGCCACTGAATTAGCCCTTGGGCTTTCCTACCCCCAGCCTCCCTGTTATAGGAGAAGCCAAAGTCCTTATTCAGGCCTCTGGTAGGTATTGTTACTTGCAGCTGCACAGGTGGTATGGTGGACAGAACAATGCCCACCAAAGGCATTCATAGCCTAATCCCCAGAACCTGTATGTTACCTCACCTGGGGAAGGGGATGTTGTTGGTGTGATTAAATTACAGATATGGAAACAAGGAGATTATCCTGAATTATCTGGGTGGGCCCAATGTAATCACCAGAGTCCTTCTAAGAGGGAGGCAAGAAGGTCAAAGTCAGGAGACCAGCAAGGAAGCAGAGGTTGTTGGGATGCACTTTGAAGATGGAGGAAGGGGCTGGGACCCTACAAATGCAGACAACTTCTAGAAGCTGGAAAAGATGAGGAAAGGGATTTTTCTCCTGGAGCCTCCAGGAGGGGTCCAGCTCTGCCAACACCTTGATTTTTAGTCCTATAAGATCCATTTTAGACTTCTGACCTCCAGAACTTTAACAATAAATGTTTGTTACCCAAGCTGTAGGAAACTGATACAAGTGATGTCCATTAACCTAATGACAGCAGACAGGGACCCAACTGCCAGCTACACTACAGCCCCAAGAGTCATCTCCCCAGCAGAGTGGTTTTTGGAAGCTAACATTTCCTTTATACTTAAAAGGAGAATCAGTAAAGTATATGAGACTTAGAGAGAGGAAAGGAATGAACATTTGTCACTTGTTAAAACAGCAGAAGGAGGGTGCTGGGAGATGAGTTAGTGTTTGTTCATTGCCTTGTTCTGTTTGCATCTCCCAGCTACTCTGCAGGCCCGGGCCACCCCCAGATTACAGTAATATTAAAGTTCATTGGAATGCCCAGTTTGGGGGTGGCAAGGATTTGAGCTGAGCTGCAGCTGAGTTGGGACTGTAACAGGGAAGAGCCAAATCAGACTGCATGTTGGATCTGTTTCTTTTACTTTAACCTTTGCTTTCCGCTGCTTTTGTTCACTAAAAGGATACTGTCTATACACAGTGGCCTGCCTCGGGGAACCCTGCCCCTCTGCCTGAATGTTAAACCAAAGTGCCTTTGTTCAGGGAAACATCTGGACCCTGTCCACCTGTGGCTGGTTACAAGAAAGCAGAAATTAACACATCCCCTCCCTGAGGCTGGCCATTCCAGGGGACATTTGCAAGACTTCGGCCTTTTTACTTCCTTGTCTCCTCCCCATCTCTGTGCTATAAAAGAAACTGGCATCCAAACCCCCATAAGATGGTTGTTTTGAGGCTTTGCCATCTTTTCGGCCTGCTGGCTTTCATAATAAAGTCATATTCCTTGCCTCAGCACCTCATCTTCCATTCATGGGCCTGACCCCAGAGAGCAGAGCATGGCCTGGGGCAGCTTGGATCTCGGTGGCAGAGAGGCTGGCACGGGAGGCCCTCTGGGTAAGATGTCACAGCTCTGAGCAACCAGGACCCCCGTGCCCACAGCGTACCCTGTGTCTACCTCACCAACTCCCCCTCTAGGGTTCTAATACTTCTTGTGGGCGAGCGACTGGAGGGACAACTGAGCCGTGGGCACGGGCGGCAGAAACTAAAGCCCCAGGGCCAGGCAGTAGAGTTTGTTCCAGGGGAGACCATCGTAAGAGCCCAGACTCCCTGGACTGTTCTTTCTTCACTTGGTGCCCAGGGAGCCGGTCGGGGCAGGGCCAGCGCGGGGGAGGGAGGGGGCGAGCAGTTGAAGAGGGAGGAGACTGGCTGGCGTGGGGATAAGAGGGCGTGCGCTTCTCGGCCCCAAGTGCCAGCAGCTGGAGGAGGCGCGCAGGGAGGCGGCCCCGCGGACGCGCCAGAGGACGGGCGGCACGGTGGAACCGGCGCCGGACCTGGGGCTCGGGGACTGGTCCTTGCACCGCTATCTGGACTGCGAGTTCTGGAGCCTCAAGATCGAG